AATTAACCAGTTGCAACTACTACTTATTATTTCCTCATTCCTTGTATATAACCTCACACTTTCACAAAGTGCATTCTAATACATTATCTTTTTTGATGTATGTGTTGTCATCATTTATAATATCCTTAAAAAGACACAAGAGTTCTAAACTGACAATGGTTAGTGTGGAAAAGCTTGGCTGAAATGCTGATTCTTTACAGAATTTGAGTAGCTACTATGTGTTTCAGATACATCGAATTCTAGAGTTATAAGGTCTCACACCTTTCTTAATATTAAATTTAAACAGTTTGCATTAGTCAAATAACTTAAAATCACCTTGAACAACAAATGATAATTAGAAGAAGGAAAATAATGTCATTAAATATGTCTATCATGTTCACACACATTATAGTATTTTTTAACTTAATACTCACAACTCTTATCAGTTGGATGTTTTTCTGTAAACAAAGGTTCAGAGAGGTTAAATTACTTGCCCAGAATTATGCAGCTACAAGTTGCAGAATCAGAATTTGAACCCAGCTCTTCTAAGTTTTAAACTAGTGCATTTACCAGTGTGGGTGGGAAATCGACAGCTGTCTTTTCATGTCTATGTTCCCCTGAAGGCATCATGTGATGCAGGAAAATGCATACATTTGTTGGGAAACGCCCTGCCTGGTTTCAGGAGCTGTAACCCTGCTGACAGGCTGCAGGACACCAAGGCTGGAAATAATCAGGAGGCCTTGGAGAAACGAGCCTCTGAGACTTGGCCTGTCCCCCCCTTGCAGGGGCATAGCTTCTGCCTCTCTGCTTTGCCTTGTGATGGCCCTTGTCAATGATGGGTAAGACCCCTTTGGGGGAGGGGCAACCTAAGCCAGGCATTAACCAATTATAGGCAGCAGACAAGAAATTGGGGGTCACAGAGAAGGGGCAAAAAGGCCCCAGCACCTCTTGGCTTGGCTTGGACAAGGCTGGAGTCCTCACTGCAGCCAAAAAGCAGTCTCCTTATCTCTTGGTGTTTCCCTCCCCATACCTGGCTCAGGCTTGAAGCTGTGCAGGAATCAGCTCTAAATCAGGGCTGGTGGTTGACAGGGAAATCAGGCCTAAAAGTAAATTCTTTAAGTGTGCTTTGTTCTTCCCTCCGATCTCTGGCCAGCTTATGCTGCAAAGGACATTTACATTATTTACACCCCTTACCCTTTATCATTAAGGCACTTGCCCTTATCTTCATTCTCTTTTGTTTTGGTTTCCTCTTGGACTCATGCAAATCAGTGTATTCCTGTCACTTGTTTTCTTAAAAGCCTGTATTCTTTGTGAAACTTACTAACGTAATGAGATTATGTACGCATTCCTGTTACCATGTGTGCATTCCTGTTACCTAGCCCCACTTATAAGATTTTCAGTAAAAGCCTTGGAACAAAGGGCGATGGGGCCTTCTCCACTGGAGAGATGTTCCACGGCCTTATCCAGTGAAAGGGAAGTGCCCCCCTCTCCATCTGCTCTCCCGGCAAACAGAAGTGTTTGCGACGATTTGTGTTTATTCTCCTCATCTGTGACAACCCCAGGATGGACTCCGCAGGATTCAGAGCAATTCTCCCATCTCAGCTGGCCCCAGCCGGTTTCCCGCAGGTTCAGGGAGCGCTGTGCTCCCTGTGGTGCGCTCCTTCCCACGCCTCCCCCCCACACCCCCACACCCCCCCACCCCCTGGCCGACATTTGCTGCCCTGATGGGGGTGGGGGTGACCTGTGACCCCAGCGGCACTCCCCCGTGGCCCCATCTAGCCACTGCCAAGTGTGACATACATTGACCTTTGGGTCCATAATGGATCCTGGAGCCACGCTTTTTCATCTTCTAGCTGTCCTATCTAATAATTTTATCCATTCATTCAGCAACCATTACTGAGTCAGGACCTGTTCTAGTGCTGGAGTACAGCAATTAACAAAATAAAGCCCCACTTCATAGAGCTTAAATTATAAAGCTCTGCTGCCCAATGAAGTTCCTAGACATGGATACTAAAATTTTAATTAATGAAAGTTAAATAAAAGTAAACATTTAGTTCCATAGTCACAGTTAGCCAAAGTTCAAGTGCTCAACAGCCATAAGGGGCTACTGTATTACAGCAGATACTGAACATATTATCACAGGAAGTTCTTTGGGATAGCTGTGCTGCAAAGAAAAGAATCTTGCCTTTTAACATGACTAAAGTAATGATTTGTTATTAGATTATGAAGAGTCTAGGAAAAAGAGAAATGAGGATTCATTAATTATCTCAAAAATGAAAAAGTTCAGATTACAACCAAAGGATTGTCATTTAGGTGGTTCATTCCTAATCACCTTCTGTCACAATCATACACTGCATTCCAACTCCCTCACCTAATTCCTCTTATTAATCAAGCCACATTTTTTTGTAACTTGGGTGACTACTTTCTATTCTACATCTAACCAGCTAAGAATTTCTTACGCTAAATTACTGCTATTCTGGTTAGCAAATCAATTTCTTAGAGCTTTGAACTGGACCTCCATTGAGCAAAGTGAACACCTCTAAGCTGAGGACTACAACAATGACTTCTAGCTGCTTACATTCTTCCTTAACAACAAAATCCTGCTTTGATTTGGTGTAGCAATGGACCAGTGTCAATGAACTATAAGACTACACTTTGCTGCTTTCCTTGCAACTAGATGCATCATTTTGTAATTGTTCAGTGGGGTTTCTAGAATAGCTTTTTAGAAAGTAAACACAAAGCTAGAATGCACTACCCCTTTGGTCTTTCCCCTGTTCTTGCTGTCTGAAAGATGGATGTGATGGCTGGAATTCCAGCATCTGCTATAGGCCTTATGGATGGTGGAGAAGAAAGGACCATCCCAGATCTCTGACGCCCATAAAGCCACCATGGCTTCATATCTTCAGGCTGGACTACATACCCTTGAATTTCCTTGCTACGAGAAAATAAACCCTAATGTGGTTAAGTCATTGTTATCAATCCTGATGAAATGGTGACTCCTCTTAAAGTTCTTTTCTCATGTGAGGACTTGTATGAAGAGGGCAGAAGACATTATTTTTGCAATCTCTTTAACTGCAAGAGATACCAAATCTCACATAGCTTCAAAATTAGGGGAGAGAAAGACAGACTGACAGACATCGGTTTGTTGTTCCACTTGTTTATGCATTCATTAGTTCCTTCCTGTACATACCCTGACTGGGTATTGAATCTGAAACCTTGGCATGTAAGGACAACGCTCTAATCAACTGAGCTACCTGACTAGGACCTGGGAATATTTCTCAAGAAATTGAAAATGTTAAAGCTGAGAAAACTAATTAAATTGTGATACGCCTAGGATAGTTGTCTGTTCCCACTTATATATCCCACAAAAATATCAAGAGGTTTGAAAGATCCTTCCTGGACCATCTGTCAGATGTCCACTTTTCAACCCATTTTTAGCTTCCTCCTAGTTACCAACTCAGTTTTCTCTGGGCTACCAGTGCAGCCCAGGGCCCCATCATTACGGGTGGGGTTGTGGGGGGTAGGGTGTGGTGCATTTCCTGGTTTTGGCTCCTCCATCATCCCATTTCACTGTACTGTTCCCTGCTTTTCACAAGGGTTACTCTCTGTGAAATGCTTCATTATTGGATTTAGGGAAAATTCTTAATCTGTTATAATTCCCCAGTTCTTTAAGTAGAACAATTTTATTAACTTACTGATTTTAGAGGGAACACCAATTTGGTGCTCTACTTATTTATGCATTCACTGGTTGATTCCTGTATGTGCCCTGACCAGGGATCCATAGGTGACCTTGCCCTATGGGGTCAACTCTCTAACCAATTTAGCTACCTGGCCAGGACTAGAATGACATTTTCTCAGATTGGACCTGGATTAAATGTGTTCACAAACTGGGTCTCTGTGTTTTGACTCTACTTTGAGTATCTTTTTCAATGGGACTGTTTTTGTAAAACTTGAAACAATGTTTTTAACTGAACATAAAACTAGAGAAAAGATCATAAAAACATTTGGAATGGAACAAGCTCTAAGGTTTCATACTGGCTTAAAATAACTAAATAGGGAAGGTGGTTTTTATTTTTGTACCTAGTAATTGGGTCTGAAGTCCAAATAACACCTAGGCAGGTGGAAGCTCCTTATTTTTATGTTTAACCCTCTAGCACCTGGGATATAATTTCAACTTCACCTTAGAAGTGAGAACTTACCCTTTTTTCAAACAAAGGACATGAATCAAGACTAAGTGCAAAACAGAAAAAACTCTTTAGCTGCATGCCTTAGGAATCCTCAAGCATTCAAAAAGGGACCAAACCGATAGATGGGAAAGCTGTGAAAACTCTCGTTTCACCTTCCTCCTTCCCAAAGACCTTAAGCCCCCCACACCCGCCCCCACGGTTATTCCCCGGGGGCTAGCGGAGCGACGTGGATCTTACTACCCGGTCTCAGCTCGGCCCCACGAAGGCATCCAAAAACTCCAGAGGCGGCAGCCGCTGGGGTAAATGCTGAAAAGTTCTCCGAGGCCCTCGGAGACCACAGAGACTGGTCAAAAGCCCCATACCTTGCCCTTATCCTCGTGGTTTCCCAAGGCCTCAAGGGCCTGGTTCTAGGTAAATGTAAAGTCCGCCTATAACAGGGCCTTACAAGTGAGTAATCTGGAAACCTGACATTTCCGTTTCCAGAAAGGTGCAGGGGCCTGCGTCTCGCGCCGCTTGGCGCGGAAGCTAGAAGAGGCTTCATCTAAGCCCCACCCAGGGCGGCCCCAAGCCCTCCTTCATCCACTCTCTCTCCCAACCCCCCTCCCTGAATCAAGGCCCAGGGCCTCTTTCCCCGCCCCCTCAACTCCTCCCCTCACCATTCCCTCCCCGGCGAGTCCCCTGAAATGCGGCCTTCCGTCTCCAGGCTAAGTCCCCGGATGCTCCCCTCCCGCCTCCCAAACCGGGCTCGCGCTGTGGCCCCGCCCAACGCGGCTCAGCGTGCCACGTCACCAATTCCGGCGCTTCCGGAGGCGCAGCAAACTATGACGTAGGGAGACTTGCCCTCTATATGAGGTTGGGGAGCGGCTGAGTCGGCCTTTTCCGCCCGCTCCCCCCTCCCTCACAACACGGCTCAGGCTGCACTGCGCTCGCTTGAGCTCCGGGCTCCAGCTCAGCCAGCGCCGCTTGTCGTCTTCTTCCAGCCGCCATCATGATCATCTACCGGGACCTCATTAGTCGTGAGTTGTGACTGCTATACCCCTACTGTTGCGCGCAGGAGATGGGGGGGGGGGGGGGTGTGGGATGGGAGGGGCGGATAAGACGGATGCTACTGCTGTCTTGGGCCTAGCGGATGCCTGTGGCCGTTCCGGGAGCGAAGAGGGGTCGATGCCTGGGGCACGTGCCCGGGGAGGAGTGAGGACTGCGTCTGGCCGGCTGGCGCGGGAAATGGCGGCGCCGGCTCTGGGCCTCCGGGCGCATCGTAACGGCGAGTCTGTGTCTCCGAGCAGATGATGAGATGTTTTCCGATATATACAAGATCCGGGAGGTCGCAGACGGGCTGTGTTTGGAGGTAGAGGGGAAGGTGAGTAGTAGGGCTGCGGCGCGGGGGAGGGCGAGGCTGGGCAAGCTCGTGTTTCCGCTGCTCCCCCGCCCGAGATTGTGCAATCTTCTGCCCTGCCTCCTGGCGGAGGAGACTATTTCCGGGCTCGGGTTTTTCTAGAAAAGTGGAGGCGGAGCTGAGCCTTGGAAATAGGTCTGCTGCTTGGGCGCCCATCCTCCCCGGCGTCTGCCCGGGACCGGTTGTTTGCGTCTGCGCTTTGAGGTTCCCAAGCCCTTTAGCGACTGCCCTGTATCTACTTGCTCAACCCGAAAGCCCACAGAAAACGTCCAGTTGGGTTGTAACAAACCTGTTTTCATTTCCATCAACCAAAAAACAAAGTTCTTGTCGAGTTCAGGTATTTGAGGAAACCGAGGGGTCATAAATTTTTCCCCGAAGTGTTTTCGTGGTTTCAAACGAGAAAGTCTGGCGGGAGGACGATGGGTACATGGGCTGCCGTTGTAGGAAGTATTTTTGGATGCGTTTATGCTGAGATAAAGAATGTCTTTTGCAACTAATCTTTCTTAATACAGATGGTCAGTAGGACAGAGGGTAACATTGATGACTCGCTTATTGGTGGAAACGCCTCCGCTGAAGGCCCCGAGGGCGAAGGAACCGAAAGCACAGTAATCACTGGTGTTGATATTGTCATGAACCATCATTTGCAGGAAACCAGCTTCACAAAAGAGGCCTACAAGAAGTACATTAAAGATTACATGAAATCGTAAGTAATACTTATACACCCATCTGGGTGTTTCTGGAATCCTGTGGGATTTACGGATTGGCTAACTTGGAGATTCTTCAGCAGCAAGCATACTTGTGGGGAGGTCTTACCCTTTTTTATCTATAAGTAAACTACTGTGAACCTACCTGAGCAAGCAGTCTGGTTTTAGTTTTTTAGAATACTTCGGAAACAAGTTGAGTGAGGTTTTGACACATCCAGGGAACTAGTTAACCTTGCCCAGTGACAGTTACTGTTTTCAGTGGGGTTTTGTTTTTACTTTGAGTATTTACTTAATAAAAAGTCACTTTGCTTAGAAGTCAAAACTTTAACGTGTTAATAATACCTTTTTAGAATCAAAGGGAAACTTGAAGAACAGAGACCAGAAAGAGTAAAGCCTTTTATGACAGGGGCTGCAGAGCAAATCAAGCACATCCTTGCAAATTTCAAAAACTACCAGGTAAATAAGTATCTTAAATATTTGGATCAAAGGACTGTACAATGTTAACTGAAGGCCTAAAAGTAGTTACTTGATGGGTCTTTGTAATTAAATTGTGGTTCTTTTTCTGGACTTTTGAGCAGTTTGAATGCTTATTAGATTCCATTCCAAAAGAATAGGTTGTAGAAAGTAGCCTTACCTGCTCCCAAGTGTGTTTCTAGATCTTGTCTTCTGATTCCAGAATATCATTCCTACCCAGATGATACCTATTAGGTCTTCCTCTCATAAATTGCTTGTTAACCTCCTAAGTGGTCTTTCCATTTTCTTTCTCTTTATAATTCAGTGTCTCATTGTCACTGGAGCTGCTTCTGATTTGAACTTGTCCTATTAGGGAACTTCAATGACTTCTCTTACTTGTAAGAATAAAGAAAAATACCACAGTCTGGCTGTTTGATTTTTCTGGCTTTCTCACACGCACACACACACGCCATACTTCTCCCATATGATGCACTATCTCATTGGCAGCATTATCGTCCTGTACTTGACTTTATAAATAGGAATTGTATATGTGGTAATCTTAAGTTACCACAAAGATTAAAGTGTTCTTGTATTTCTCTGTATTATTTTGGTCATTATTGGTGCTTAGTCAGGTGATTGATTAGTGAGTACTTTTTTTCCTCTTAGACATCAGAGCCTTGGCTGCTGAAATTTTCTTGATTAAATCATGGTGTTCTGGGTCATTTTTGTATTCCAGTTTGTTTTCTTATGGTACCTCTGCATATAATGGTCTAATTCTAGATGTTTGTTGTTTGCTTCCTAAGTTCTTTATTGGTGAAAATATGAATCCAGATGGCATGGTTGCTCTGCTGGACTACCGTGAGGATGGTGTGACCCCATATATGATTTTCTTTAAGGATGGTTTAGAAATGGAAAAATGTGTAAGTACACAACAGTGGGGCAAAATCAGTAATTTGAAAATGGAGACATCTTAGGTGAAACTTAGGTGTGGCCAGTGAGATGCTTAGAATGAATTCTGCAGTGGTCCTTCTAAAATGTGGGTACAGGTCTTGTTTCTCTTTGGGGGTCTAAATAGGATTTCACATGTAAAAGATTTTTATACTATGGTCTGTGTAGAGAAAACTTACTCTACACAGTAAGTTTTACTACCAAAATCCTTTTCCCTTGAGTTTGTGATAATTGGAAGTTGATCATTGAAAGCCTTGCTCTTAGTAAATACTGATAGTAAATTGCTTTAGTAAAAGTAAATGAATGTCTTCTATGCTTAGGAACTGCTGCTGCTGGAAGCAGTACAGAAGTGAAGGCATTTATTATTCTAGCTTTCAGAGGCTGTCATATAAATGAGGAACAAGGTAAACTTACAACTGTACCAAACAAGATTAGAGGCAACAAGACAGGCATTTCAGGAAGAGTACAAATGATTTGCCAAAAGGAGTTATTTAGGATATCTGAGATTTTGGTAAAACAAAGTGTGTATGAGTGGGACTTTGTTTAAAAAGAGGTGAGGATGGTTCTGCATCCACTGATAGACCTTGAACAATCTAATGTTGTTCTTTTGGTTTGCACTAGGATGCGAAAGAAAATAATCCCCGCGCTTTCTGTCTGTCTGTGTGGCAGCCCAGATTGAATAGGGGACTACATCTGCAGCCTGGAAATATTATGTGCTTTCATATTGGGAAAAGCTGTTAATGTAGTCTTCCTTGTTTTCACAGTAACAAATACGGCAATTTGGATCTATCACCTATCATCATAACTGGCTGCTGCTTTTCATCTACACCAGGACTAGGACAAATGGGACTAATGTTATCTTGAGCTCTTCATTTATTTTGACTTTGATTTATATGGAGCGGAGGCATTGTTTTTAAAGAAAACATGTCATGTAGGTTGTCTAAAAAATAAAATGCATTTAAACTTACTTGAGAGAATGGCTCTTAGTTTAATACATATTTAAATCCATCCTGTATAGTGGTCCTGGAGAAGCTAGAGCCTGGTAATAGACCACTACTACAGAGCATAAGACTGTCTTCAGATAACTTCTACAGTGAAAACTACTTCTGGGAATGGAATATAAAAAGCAAGGATCTTGAGTCTGAGTTGAAGTAAAGGGAAAGACCATGTTTACAGCAGAGCCAACATTTGAAGTGGATTCCTTAAACATTTTTCATCACCTACAAATGGAAGTAATAAACTGGAAGAGATTACCAGAAGAGAAAGACCCACCCACTTGGAAGCAAAGTTGTCTGAGCTTCTTTAGCATATCAAGTTAGGACCAAGTCCTATAGAAATCTAGGTCTTCTGGAATTGTGTAATAAGCTTTTGTCAATCCTGGGATAGGGTTGCAGGCTGGCTCATCCTGGTACTTATTTTCTATGATTGAGGTGGTCATGTTTTTAAATGGGGAAACAAAAATACAAGATACTAAATCTGACTTGGTGTCCAGCTTTATTAGGACACTGCTGTCATTTGTTTATGGATTGACTGGCTCTGGCACTGCAATGGCAGAGATGAGTGTGACAGACCTTGCAGGCCTGCAAATCCTAAAATAAATACATGTCCTGTTCCAGGAAAGGTTTGCTGGCCCTTTTAAAGATGAGGTTTTAGATGGAATGTGGATTGTCTGGTGGGCAGAAGAAAAAGCAACTGCTCTATGTATTACATCCAAGTAAGGCTATTGGGTATGGGATGAAAATGCAACTATTTGATCTGGAGTAGTTACTGTCCACTAAGGTTTCAGGGCAGATCCGATTGTGGCCACCAAGGTTGAATGGGGATATGTGGTGGGAAAATAGAGTTTCTACAATTCAGAATTTACCATGTAAACAACTGAAAAGCCTTTTACTCCAAAGAAGGATGTAAAATACATGTTTACAAGAGAGGTCTGGAAATTACTCAGATTATTCTCCTATACCCTTCTGAATGATTACAATTTTGAAACTTTAGGGTTAAAACTAACAGTAAGCCAGTGATTTTTAAAAATCGGACCATTGTATGTGTTCCAGAGTAAACCCAGAGATTTGGCAATCAAATATAACCTAGTGACTTCAAAGATGTGGTTCAGATTTTGAAATGTTAGATCAGTCAGTAATGCCCACTAGTGACTAGAAGCAAACTCAAATATTGGAAACTGATGAGTTTTAAGCATTCCTATTTCTGGCATTAAAAATAGAGAAGTGGTGCCAGTCACTGGATTGAGGAGGCCACTCTGAGCATACTAATGGGAGAGAATTTTTCAGGCTGTGGTCAAGGAGGATAATTTGATAATAGATCTTAAGGTCACAACTGAAACGGGATTTGGTGAACTAGCCATGGGAAAAGTTGGAAGAATAGGAATAGCAATGCAGAGGCTTTGTGTAGGAAGTGAAGAGTTCAGGTAGTTGCCTAAGAATGCTCATTTTGTATCTTTCTAGTTGTCAGTTGTGTTTACTTTGTACATCAGAAGGCATGTGTCATTTTGTGGTCATTGACGCTAAGCCCTAACGGGCATGTTGTTTGTGGCCTTTAGAGCCCAGCTGTTGAATGTACGAACTATTTGGCAGAGGCTTTTTTTACCAGATTGTCCAGGAAAAAGCCTTTGTAATAATACATTTGAGGGCAGGCATTGCAGGCAAAGAATAGCAAATGCAGCAAAGCGGAGTGTGCTGGACGTGTTCAAGGGATAAGGTGGCCAGTATGCTGGACACAAGGTGGCAAGGAAAGAAGATAGTGAAGTGAGTGCATGGAGAGAGAAACCAGATCATGCAGGAAAGCCACAGGAGGGTGACATGATCCTCCCTGATGGATCATGTGGTTGCTGGGTAGAGGGGTAAAAGCAGAGAATGAGGGGGTATGAATATTCTTAAGATGATACGGTTTAGGGTGGTAGTTGTGGACATGATAGGTTGAATGAGGGGGAAAAGGTATTTAAGGGTCAAGCCCAGTGTTTTCTCCGGGGCATCAGGAAGAAAGGAATTAACGTTGAGATGGGATGGGAAATCAAGAATTTGGGTTTGGACATGATATGAGATGCAGGGGTTTTTTTGTTTTAATTCTATTGATCTAAAAGAGGAAGGGAGAGAAAAATGCATTGGTAACGCATTGGTTACTTCTTACATGTGCCCTGACTGGGGGGGTTGGACCCATAATTTCAGCACATCAGGACACTGCTCTAATCATCTGAGCTACCTGGTCAGTGTCCCAATTCTTGATGCAAGTGAATAGGGTAGGCAGACATTTGTTGTTAGAGGCGAGTGGAGAGGTCTAAGCTAGGGACTCTAAAATAACATGACTTTTAAAAAAAAAAAATTTTTTTTTTTTTTTTTTTTTTACTGATTTTAGGGAGATACAGTGAGACAGAGAAACATTGGATTCTGTTCCACTTAACTCGTTGGTTGATCCCTGTGGATCGTTGGTGCATTGGGCTGACTAACCAAATGAGCTACCTGACCAGGGCCTCAATACATGACCTGAAGCCAAGCACTGGGTGAGATTACCTAGAGAGTAATAATATCCTCAAGCCCTCCAGTTTGAAGATTGGTTAGCATAATGAACCTGTAAAGGTGATTAAGAAGAAACTGCCCCTGAGGTAGGAAAACTAAGGGAGTGGCCTCCTGGAAATCTAGTAGACGAATGTTGCAGGAAGGAGGAAGCAGTCAGCAAGGTTACCTGTTGTGAACTAGTCAGGTAAACTTAGAAGTGTTTGATAGGAAAGAAAGCCTGATTAAAACAGGCTCAAGGGATCCCTGACTGGTGTGGTTCAGTAGGTTGAGGATTATCCCTCAACCTACTGAAGGTCAGTAGGTCACTTGTTAGATTTCTGGAAAGGGCACATGCCTGGGTTGTGGGACTGGTTCCCAGTTGGGACACATGCAAGAGGCAACCAATTGATGTTTCTCTCACACATAAGTGTTTTCTCTCCCTGTACTCCCTCCCCCTCTCTCTAAAAATAAAGTCATTAGAAAAAAAAAGGCTCAAGAGCAAACTCACATGCAGCATGTTGCCCATGAAATGTCATAATACAGTTTTTAAATTTATTTTTAAATTTTATGTATTTTTAGAGGGGAAGGGAGGCAGAAAGAGAGGGAGAGAAACATCAATGCACAAGGGATACAATGATCTGTTGCCTCTCGCATACCCCCAACTGGGAACCTGGCCCTAACCTAGGCAGGTGCCCTGCCAGGAATCAAACCAGCAACCCATTGGTTCACAGGCTGGCACTCAATCCACTGAGCCACACTAGCCAGGGCTACAGTACTTTTTAAAAATATTTCTGATGTTTTTTAAGAGAGGGAAATCGATGTTACTGCACTTACCTATGCACGCATTGGTTGATTCTTGAATATTCCCTGACTGGGGATCGAACCTGAAACCATGGAGTATCAGGATGATGTATCAGGGCCAAGTACTTTTTATTACATGTGCATCTGCTTATGCAGTAAGTGTGCAAATGACTCATTTGAATCACATTTTCCTTAAGCTCTATTTAAATCACTAGTAAATTTTTGTAAATTCCATCATCTGACCTACAGAGTTAATAACTTTAAATGAAATAGCTAATGATGACAATAATGGTAGAATTGCAAGAAGAGCAAAAACCTCAACTGACTGGGAAAAACCCTGAGAACAGCACCCTAAAGTACCAGCATTTATGTGCATGTGCATGTAGCTGAATGACGGCTGGCAGAACACTCAGTAAAAGGGAACATAAACCAGGAGGACTTGAATTACTAAAGATTATGTTTCAGTGACCAGTACTTGCTATACAACTCTTAATTATATGGTAAAAGTATGGCTAATGGACCCCTGGTGGGTTATAAACCTAGTTCTGATAAAAAGCTTCAATTTTGTGGCAATTGACAGTTTCAGGAGACTGCCCAGAAGAATTGAGAGCCCAACTTGATGTTGGATATATTTATGAACCTCTGGAGCTATCTGTGGACCATACTTGAAAATCACTGGAACCCTGACTGGTGTGGTTCAGTGAGTTGGGTGTTGTCCCGCAAAACAAAAGGTCTCCAGTTTGAGTCCCATCAGGGCATATGCCAGGGTTGTGGGCCAGGTCCCTGGTTGGGGGTGTGTGAAAGGCAACTCATCAGTATTTCTCTTGCACATCAATTTCTCTCCCTCTCTTTCTCCCTCCCTTCCCTCTCTCTATAAAACCTTAAAAGAAAAAAGTCACTGGGTTGAAAAAGAGTTTGATGCTGTATAAAAAAGGTAAGCTCCTTATTTGTATATTTAGTTCTTTGGCAACATGTAATATTCCATTATTCCAAAGGAAAAGTCCTTGACTAAAGTATTTAAAATACAAATTAAAGAAAGGTACTTTATACCTTCCACCAAATTACTGTTAGTTGCTATGACAGCCATCTCAATAAGAGTCTTTACACTTGGAGCTTACAGGTAAAAAATAATGCTGGCAGTTTATATTCATCCCACTGAAGGTCCCTCATACACTGAGCCATGAGAACCTCAAGTGGCTGTCCATAGGATTCAGGGAGAAAAATGTCAACGGTGAGCCTAGTGGAAGATTCTTTACAAAGTAATTGTTCAATGTCTCCCTCAATTGCTTGTACCCAACTCCACCCCCATATACTTGACATCTCCCTGTGTTTATGCCTAGTGTTCTCTCCTGAGCATTTGAGGTAGGTCACCGAGATAGAGAATGCCATATGAAGGTTTTTGAATGTATGAGTCAGTTTACAAATGGAAAAAAGAATTCTGATATCAGATGACAAGTGAGGTGCCCTTTGACTAGGCGTGGACAGACACACAGACCACAATGGCTAGTTAATGAGTACAGCATTTTTTTAATCCGAGGACATTGATTTTATTTAGGATGGGAGAGGGAGAGAGAGGGAGACAAACATAGAACATGCACCCCAACCAGGGACTGAACCCACAACCTAGGTATGTCCCCTAACTGGGAATCAAACCCTCAACCTTTTGATTA